ATTTAGATATACAGACCAGATCTCTGAGGAGCTCGGTGGAGCCCTCCTCGGCAACAGGCCACGCCCACAGGAAGCTCCTTCCTGCTATCTGTGGTCAGTGAGGCCTCTGCCTGGGAGGACCCAGGGCAGGAGGAGCAGGAGCTCTTGGAGGATGAAGACCTTCTTCCAGATGCCCCTGCTTTCTCTGGGCTCTTCAAGCCCACCTTATTTAAATCCATCTTGCACAAGGCCAAGGCCATTACCCAACTGGGTACTAAAGCCCAAGCAGGCCAGGGTTCTTCAGACTCATCCGTCTCCAACCCTAATGACAGCATGTTTAAGATGCAGGCCCCTCCACAGGACCTTGTTCATGTTTCCAGTCTTTTCATGGATGTAATTCAGGGACAATGGGTCCAACCTGGTTCCCTAGCTGCACCCAGTGGTGGGGATAAGAAGCTATATTTGGTGGAATCTAACCTAGAGGATGTATTGACCTTACCCTTAGTAGACCCCTTGCTACCAGCCTTCACTTTGAACTCTGTTCTTCCAGCAGACTTAATGGAAGGCCTCAAGGCAGAAGATAAAAAGGCGGAGAAGGCCTGCCACAAAACTCACCAAGCGGCAGCCTGGGCCATTAAGTCATCTTTCTCCGCCTCTTTCTTTAACAGGGCATCCATTATTTGGTTACACGAACTACAGTCTAAAGTCCCAACGGGTGACGCATGTCTCTGTTACAACGCAACCAAACTCATAGCAGCAGCTCAGTACTTGGCCGATGCCTCACTTAACATGGTGAAGTTTGCCTCCAGGGTGCTAGATTCTAATGTAACCTCTAGGTGTCTCATTTGGCCTTGTCACTGGCAAGCCGACCAGAAAGCTGAGTGGAAGCTTGTTTCTGCTCCCTTCAAAGGACCAAACTGTTTGGAGAGGTCTTAGACCTCTTCCTGATTGAATCTAAAGATAAGCGGAATATCCTCCCTACCCTGAATATAAAGCAAGTTTGCAAGTCCACTCCCTACTTTAGGAGGCAGCCCTTTCATGCAAACGAGGCCTCATTCAACTCTTCCACGTCCCACAAATTGTTCAATCAATCAACTGACAGGTCCCAGGATAGGCAGTCCTTTCAGGACAGGGGTAGGCAGCAATTCAACTACTGCAGACCCAATCACAGAAGCAATAGCAATAGCAGTAGACTTATATACCACTTCATAGGGCTTTCAGCCCTCTCTAAGT